TACCCTGTAAAAGCAAGCATTACCTTGACGCCTGTCGAGAGTATTCCAATTTTGTCATGATATATGTAACGCATAGAAGAAGAGATGACCGATTCCATAAAGTATATAGATTCTAGATGAGGATTTATAACCGATTCGTTAAAGCCAGGTTCGACTGTCCGTCTCTCTGTTCTTAAGTCAGACCTGATCGAAGCACTACATCATATAGCTTTAATAGAAATCGAGGATAGGTCGAAAGACAGGTTCTTGTATAGAAATATTTGCTTGTTCCCTGAGATATCTTATCTTGGCTTAACTATGCTGCTTTCATATGAGCCAAATCCTATCAATATTCCTCTACTATATAGTTCTATAGGAAGAATCGTCTGTGGCAAAATATTCTGTTTTCCGAATTGCCATATCAAAAATGTCTTAGGGTATTAAATCTTCGGCTTGCCTAAGTTAGGATTCACTTGCCTGTTTTCTTTGCAGGCATTCATGTTATTTACAGGGTATCAAAAAACTGAAAGCAGCGCATTGCTGCGAGCCGGGGCCGGGGCTATGGGTTTGAGGGCATGGTCGGGCTGTCAGTGAAACTGAAAACATGCAACTAAACTGCCGTCGCATTTTACAGACAAGTTGCCACACTGGCCGCACGGCCAAGCCAAGTTAACGGCCCGCTTCGCCCCGCCCCTTTTTGGCGACACTTTCAGCTGCCTGTTCCTGTGGCAGCAGCTCCATAGTTTTGCTACTTCTTGTCACTTGCTGTTGCAAGAACAGAAAAAACACCAGACCGACCGACCGCCCGCCCGCCCTGTGCTCGCATGCTGGACCAGCTTTATGGGCCTTAAAGCGTGCGGGCCAAGCCGCTTAAGTGGGCTGTTAAGGGCCTGTTAATTTTATTGATACCAGCGCCGATCGAATGTTCTTGGCCCCTCTGAGAGGCAAAGGCGTGGGCGTGCCAGTCCCGGGCAGGCGATGGGAAGCAGGGAGAAGGGGGAAGGGCGCCAACAATTGGAGCAAGTGGTGCATGGGCGCTCGACGTTGACATGCCCGACACATGTTGCGGTCCCCCCAAGGATGTGTTTCTATTTGTGTCAATGTGTGTGTGTGTGTGTGTGTGTGTGTTGTGGCACGCTTAGCGGCGCATTTGTGTGCGTGCGTGTGTGTGACACCATGCAATGCCGCGCAACCACAAGGCTGATCCACTCAAGTCTAAGCTGAGGCAAGCACAGTCCAAAAGTCAAAGGCAAAGTTGGCTAATGACAAAATCGGGCTTAGAATTCATCAAATTAAAATAAAGAAATTGTAGAATAGAGAGGGAGGGGTGAGAAAGGGTAAAACTTATAGTAAGAAAAGGGTCAAATATTATGACAAAAATTTATGTAAACCTGTTATTATTATAAGACTTTATAATAAAAATGTAGAAGACTAAACTAATCGATCGACTTACTGATTCATTAACTGACTGACTGACCGACGTACAAACTGATTGACCGAGTGGCTGATTGTCTGACTGACTAGTAGTTGATAGACTGATTGAATGATGGACTAGATGATTTACTAATTGATTGACTGACGGATTGACTGATACACTGGCTGATTGAATGATTGAATCACTCAGTGATGGACTAGACTAACTAGCTGATTGACTGACTGATTGACTAATAGAGTGGCTGACTGATTGCCTGAGTGATTAACTGACCAATAGACCAGCTGATTGACTGACTAACTGTTTGACTGGTTTATTGACCCGCTTAGCGGCTAAGTGATGGACTGACTGATGATAGAATGACTGACTGACTCACAAATTGCCTGGATGATTGAATGACTAATTCACTAACTGATTGACTGACTGACCAGCTGCTGGACTTATTAACAGATTGATTGGGTGAATGACTAATTGATTGGCTGATTGACTGAGAAATTGGCTAAGTGACTGACTGATTGACTGACTAACTGATTGCCTAACTAATGAATTAGTTGATTGACTGTCTGATTGTCTGACTAACTGACTGATCAAATGGCTGCCTGATTGACTGGGTGACTAACTACTTGACTTATTGTAAGATTGGGTGATTGAATGACTGATTGATTGCTTGACTTACTGACTGATAGCCCAAGCCATACTAACTAGAAGGCAGCAGTTTCTACTGTAGTCACATTCGGCAACTACCAATTTAAGTTCTACGTTCTATGATATTTGGAAAACCGCTTGCTAATAATATTATTAATATCTACAAATATTGAAAACTCTCCAACTTACCATAGAACTACAGATGTGTGCAGTAACCGCCAAGGAAAAAGATCATATTGATTTCTTAATATCTTGAATTTCATTTTATTCATTTTATTCCAATCGCTGGTTGACCCTAGTATATAGTATGTCAAATGCTCGCTTATTAGCCTTCACATAGTAGTTACCATTTTTCTTTTCGTTTTAAATCAGTTTTTCAGCTTTTACTGTTCCATGCTCTGCGCTCAATCTCAATCGAATCGATCATCTCTTTGGCTAACTGGGCTATATATATATATATATATATATATATATATTGTATATATATATATGTTTTTGGCATACCTTACATACACATACACACATATCAATCAATATCGATTTAATGCATAACTTAAGTTAAATAACAATCACATTTACTTATTATGTTTTTTTTTTTTTTGGTTTTTCTCATTTTGTTTTTTCGTTTTCCGTTTACTTTTCTTTTCGGTTTTCGTTTGGCTTTATTTCTCTTATTAAAAAAAAAACTGGCACTTGCCTAGATTTATATTTCTATATGGGGTTATATAAGTATATCATATCAATCAATCATTATCATATATATTCTTTTTTTTTTTTTTGTGCCTGCATCTTACAAACAAATTGTCAATAAAACAATTGGAAACAATCGAATCAACAAAAAACTTAAAAATCTTGCATTCGTTCGTTCGTTTTTGAACCGATCGGAACCGATCTATATAACTTGCCATATCCTTTGGGTATTGCATATATAATTCTCTACTTGTATAAAAAAAAAAAAAAACGAGTGCCACTTGCAGTGCACGCATTTTTCTTAATTTTCTTTAATTTAATTTATCATTTATCTTTAATTGTTATAATATTTTCTTTTATTTTTATTTTTTTTTTGTGAAATCTCGAGTTTTACTTAATAAATGTTTTACGTCTATTTATTTAGAGAGTTCCATTCTTTTCATTTTAATTTTCTGTTGTATAATTCTTAATATTGTGGGCAAATATTTGATTTTGCTTTTTTATACTTTATTACTTTTTACCTTTTACCATTTACCATTTACTGAATATTGAATTGTTTATCTTAGTTACACTTAGTACATCAATATATAGTTTATGTTTTGTTCTAAATTTGAAGTCCTGTGTTTTTTTTTTTTTTTTTTGTTTTTTGTATGTTTATAGTTTGTATTATTTACCAAAAGAAAACTATTTGCTAGTCGCTAGTTGTTCAAGGATTACACGAGATGCTCACGTATCGTATTTGTATATGTAAAGTTCTTATAGATTGTATAAATTGTTATTGTAAATTGTGTGTTGTCTTGTTCTATATAAATTTCGGCACATTTGATTACTTTTCAAAAAACGAATTAAAATAAATGTCAAATGTCAAATATCGGAGTACAACTCAAAAACACGCTGTGCACGCAAATGCCAAATGTGTATAGATTTTGCAAATTCTTCGGATGCGAACTGTTGACACCACAAAAAGTCAGCATATCAAATTTGACAGCTCTAGCCCTTGTGTGGGCTGAGTTCACTGGGTTAGTTGCTCAAATAATGGGCGCTCTTTGCAGGGCTTTTGTATGCAAGAAGTTGGCTGCGATACGCGTTAACATACCAAAAATCAAGTCTCTGGCGCGTTTAGTTAGCGAGTTCACTGGGGTGGTTCCACCCATAAAATGTTGCTATATATTGTATTGAACACTTGGATATGCACAACTGAAGCCCCAAATAATCGGCATACCAAATTTGACAGCACAAGCTCTTGTGAGAGCCGAGTTCACTGGGTTAGTTGCTCAAATAATAGTCGCTCTTTGCAGGGCTTTTGTATGCATGAAGTTGGCTGCAAAATAAGATAGTTACCGAGTTCACTGGAATGGTTCCAGCCATAAAATTTTGTTAAATTCTATTGAACTCTTGGATATGCACAACTAAGACCCTAAAAAGATAGCATAGAAAATTGGACAACGCTGTCGCTTAAAATATTTGAATTCAATGGGTTAGTTACTTTGATGAATAATGCGCAATCAATTTGTGGCTGAAAAATGTATGTGCAAGCAATTAAAATGTATTATTTATGCATTTTATGGTCGACTGGCGGGACATTATTATTCTTTTTGTGAAGGGATTCGTTTCGATTGTGGCTTATTTGTAGTTATTTGTAGTTAGACATTGAAATAGCAGCCGTCAGCCGCAAATAGACAAACAATTAATTATGTTTTCTTTTTTTTTTTTTCTTTTTTTTAATATCAATCGCATTTGAATTGTTTTTATATTTTATATATATATATATCTATATATATATATATTATATTTTTGTTTGTGTTTTTTTCTTCTTCTTTATGTTTATATCAATATTTGAAAAATCAACAAACAGTTAATTGGAAAAAGTTGAAAATTCTTTTGTTTAGCTCACGCATTCATATTCATATTTATATTTAGCTTTTTGTTTTTGGATTATTTTTTTGTTATGCTGCCTAACGCTTAGCCTAGCCTAAACATCTGACACATGTGTGTCTGTGTGTGTGTGTGTTTGTGTGTGTGTTTGTGTGTGTGTGTGTGTGTGTGTGTGGGCGTGGAGAGGGGTTAACTCAACCCACACGCTGCATGTTTTTTTGGAAAAAAAAATACCTCTTCGATCGATCTCTAAATAGCTTAGATATTAGATATTATATTGAGTACTCGCGAATATCGTACCTGCAGTGCATGTTGCTCTTCTTTTTGCCAGTTCTGCTTCTTCTTTTGCTGTTTCTTCTTCTTCTTTTTCATTCTCCTCTTCTATTTCTTTATTCTCTTCGCCTGCTTCTTCTTTTGCTTACCTTCAACGCGTGCTGCCATCTGTTGCTCTTCGGTTTCTTCCTCTAGACATTTGCTGCCGCTTCTTCTTCTGGCTTAGCTTCCTTCGCTGCTTCTTCTTCTTAACTGCCATTCACATCGACAGCCATGGGCTGTGCAACCGCATGCAGCCCATTGCTGAGACTGCCCGCGCACAGCGTGGAGCCGCCGCCGGCCACCGGCGAGCCGCTGGGCGTGGCGGGCGGCGAGGCGGGCGGCGTCAATGTGGACGGCTCCTGCCCCCCGCCATTGGCTGCGGCTGCTGGTGTTGTTGTTGTTGGTGGTGCATTGGTGGCAATGATTTTTCCATTTGCTAGCTTTAATATTGGCTCTGTCTTCTGCTCCTGCTCCCTCTCTTCCTCCTGCTCCTGCTGCTGCTCCTGTTGCTGCTCCTCGCCATTTGACGCCTCGTTTAGCGGCGGCGGCGGCGGTGGCGGTGGTGGCGGCGGTAATGAATCCAATTGGTTCGATTCGTTTAGCGTAAAATCGTTGAGCTCTTTAATCTCCTCGGTGGAGGGCGGCGCCGGCAGGCTCATCAAGCTGTCATAGCCATTTTCCGGCTCCTCCCTGGTCTGCTCCTGAGGTGTCTCAGCTGGCATCGACTCCTGCCCGGCCTCTGCCTCTTCTAGTGCCTCCGACAGTTCTGGGGCATTGCCGAAGGCGGCGGGTGCCGGTACCGGTGGCTCTTCCAGCTGTGACTGCGGCTCCTGGTCATTATCGGTGGTTTCCTGGCCGGCGATTAGCTGGGCGCTGAGCAAATGTGGCGAGTCCTGGGCATAGCCGGGCTGCTCGATGACATAGAGTTCCTGGTTGCCATAGGAGTAGCGCTTGTTCGAGTCACTGGACGAGCTGGAGCTAAGATCCGACTGGGACAGTCCGGTAAGCGATGGCATCGGCTGCGGCTCCTCGTCCCCGGCTGGTTCCTCCTCGGGCAGCAGCTGCTCTTCCTCAATGAGCTGCAGGCCAACAGTACCGACTCCAGCTCCGACTGCGACTGGCAACGAGGGATTTGCAAAATCGCTGGGTGGCGCATGAATCTGCACCTGCTCATGACTGGGCGGCAGGCTCCGTTCGACCAGCGCCGCCGTCTGCTTGGTGTTCGTATCGAAGGGCAGCTCGGTAATGTCAGCGCCTGGGCCGGCGCCGGCGGCGGGGCTATCCGGCGGCTGCTTGGAATCGATGCCGCGCGCCACCTCCACCACGAAGACGCCGTCCTTGTCCGTGTGCATCTTGGTCTCGCGTGCGTTGCGCGATATGTCCTGCATTGGGGGCGAGAAGAGGAAAGGAGAGCGGCACATCAGCTACTGGCGGTGGCGGGAACGGGGCGTGGCAGGCAACAACAACAGCAAAGTGTGGGTAGGGTGAGGGTAAGGGGGCAGGCAAGAAACGGGCGTGCTAAATGCTTGCCACAAGCGGCGGCGGCGGCAGCGACGACAGCAGGCGAACAAATCGTGCAGCTGTCATGCGGAAAGTGCCGAAAATTGCATTTGCATATGCTTTGGCTTGTGGCACATTTACACCTCATACACAGGGAGAAAGAGAAAGAGGGAGACAAGGAGAGGGCAAAGGAGTGTGGAGAACACAGGTGTGACTGAGGCTGGCAGCGGATATCCTGGGTTGAGCTGCTTGACAAATAGCTGAGACTCGAAACCCAAAGGATGACAGAAAACAAACGGCCAACAACAAGCGCTCCGATCGAGGCTGCTCGAACAGAAAATACCCTGCACCCAATATGAAAACTAGAACCGTCCGATTACGCGATGGATATAATTGAAAACCGAGAGACTTGAGCTTTCGAGTAGTGGCAAAACGATGTTTCAGCTGCTTGAGTGAGCCACATGTTCGAGCTCGAGCTGCTCGAGTCAGCAACATGTTCGAGTTCGAACTGCTCTTGTCAGCAACATGTTCGAGCTCGAGCTGCTCCTAAAGTCGCTGATACAGACGGACCTAAACACACATTACATTTAATGCAGATCAAGTATGCGTTCTTCCATCTGTTACACACATATCTTCTAATCTTTCCATTGGGTGCAGGGTATAGAAACAAAAGTTGGGAGTGGGAGAGAGGGCAGTAAACGTGCGGATGACAGCAAGTGGATACCCAAAGGATGCACCAGCTGAAGTTGAAGGACACAAATTTCAAGAATCGAGCACAGTCAAGTCGATGAAAGGGACGAGCACAACAGGAGTTTCAAGAGGAAAAGAGACAGCAAGCGCACTCGTGATAATATATACAGCTGTCGCTTTGGCGCTCAATCAGCTATTGACTAATGCTCGGTAACATTAAGAGTTGATTGATTAGAAAAGGAACAGGTTGTTTAGCTGTCTCTTTCGCTCTCAATCAACTTTAATCTTGAATAAAAAGGGGGAGAGATAGAGAGAGAAAGTAAGAGACAAGTAGCGAAATATATACAAGTATGTGTACAATAGATCTCTCTCTAGCTCCGTCCCTCTCCAACTTGTTTAGGGAGACAACTATTTACACATTCCGCGGTCAAAAGAGCGAAAGAGACGATTACCAGCGGAAGTACAACAATGGGAGTTATTCGGGCTGAAAGAGCAGGCAGACAAAAATACAACGACAACAACAACAATAGCAACGGCAATCAATCAATCAAATACGACAACAACAACAGAGACAGAGACGGAGATAATGACTACATTAGAGTGCGACAAAGTATTGTATGAGTTAGACAGAGAGCGAGAGGCAAACAGTTAGAGATGCGAGCAAAAGACAATAAGAAGCGAGCAAAAAGTGTGACACAACAAAGAGAGACAAATATTTGACAAAATACAGTTATAAAGATGCACACAAAATCGCGAAGCGAGCACACGCCTATAAGTGTTCCGGAACTGGCTAGACAACTATGAGCTAGTTCAAGTGAGCTAGTTCACAACAAATCAAAGTAAAGCTTAAAATTAAATCTGGCTGGAATCTAACTATAGTTATTTTTTTACAAGGTTTTGTGCACTGGAGTGAACTAGTTCCATTAACTAGATCAGTAAGTTTTAAGTCAACAAAGGCTTGGATAGCTATTTATAATTGATAACGCGAACCTAATTGGTACTCAGTAGTTCAAAAACAACAACTTTGAGCTAAGACTGTTTCTGTGAACTAGAGAACTACTCTAGAGCACTGTTTCTGGCAGTTTATAGGGGCACATTTAAGCATAGCCAGATTATTAACACTTTTAAATAGCATCTATCCTATCCAAAGAATATGAGAAACTTGTTCCAACAGAAACTTTAAACGCGAGCTAGTTCAGCGCTCCAGCATTTTGAAAGCTAAATGATATTAATAACCTACTCCCGCAAATAAATTATCGATAAAATGCTCGTATTGGCATAACTCTCATATCTAGCTGGTTCCATGAACAAATTCTATCGCTGGTTCACTTAGTAAAGTAACATAAGGGCTGAACTTTAAAGGATATTATTGATATCTTTATCTAAACTCAAGTGTTGGTCTAATGTTCCCAAAGAACTAGTTCACAGAGAAATGAACCACTCTCCTCAGCGTGTTGGTGTGCATCTTTAACTATATAAGGTGATTGCAGTGCGAGTAAAAGAGACGACAACGACAAAAGACATGACAAACAGTGGAGCAGATTAACAGCTGTTAACTAACAGCTGTTAACGCTGTTCACAGTTGAACTTACATGGCGCTCTTCGGTGACAACAATCAGATGATTATCTTTGAGCGTCATCTTTGTGACGGAGCCACTGAACGCGAACGCAGCGCTCGCCAATGTGGGCGTGGCAGCGCCCGTCGATGTGGGCGTCTGTATATCTGGGCGCGCCTCAAATTGAAACTCGATGCGCTGCACGCCGCTGGCCAGGGCCAAAGACATGGACCGAATCAGATCTGGATTTCGACTCGAGTCCGGATTCGGATTCGGTTCCGGATTCGAATACGGATTCGGATTCAGACTCACGTGTTGAATGCTTAGCTGCGATATTGGCGACGAGAAGGATGCGACCGAGCAGGACGACGACTGTAAAGTAACAGAGTGAACACAGGCTTTTAGTGAACTCACACACACGTACACACTCACACACAAACACACACACACACACACATAGCCGCTGAGCGACGCAGAGCCCGAGCCAAAGTTGAACTAGTTTTAAGCTGCGCAACTATTTGAATGCAATTAAATTACGCTGAGGCGAATTCGCAATTTTACGCAACATTTTTTGCCATTGTTTGCAGTTTAGGGAAAAAGCGGCGCGATGGGCGTGGCCGAAACGTGGCGCCGCGCAAAAAATTGTTCCAACACCTGACGGCATTTGCCTTCGCATTTCAATTGCAGTTTTGTTTGTTGCGTTTCGTCTTTCATCTACTGCTTTATTGCCCGCTGCTGCTGTTGCTTCCTCATCATCATCTCCAACATCTAGATCATCATCATGATCATCATCATCATCATCATCATCATCTATCGTTTGCTTCAACTGCCGCTTCATCATCTAGTTGGACGCACTTACCTCATTCTTGGAATCCTGGCCCTGTTCGCTGTCATCGCCAGCGGCACTCGAAGTCGCATTCTTATTCAGTAAATAACTGCAAATGGAAACAGAAAGAGAAAGAGAGAGTGTGAGAGTGAGAACGTGAAAGAGTTAGAGAGTAGTAAGTGAGTTGGCATCATTATAAAATCGCATGCATATTAAATGTGCACGAAATGTAAGTGGAATGCACAAAGTTTGTTGCCTACTTTGTATTGCGAACATCAATCAATGTTTGCCCCAGTGCTGCCCATCTGTTCGAAAATAACGAGTAGCAACAGAGTTCTGCCCATCTGCTTGTAGAAGAGCTGGGTCCAATGTGCCTTTGTGGTAGATAGATAGATAAAAGTATAGAAGTGCTGCCCATTTGCTTCTAAAAAAAAACATAGTTATTGCCAAATTTTTCTCAGAGAGAGATTACCTACAAGTTCTACAGCTTTCTCCCAAGCATCTGCCGCGAGAGAAGCACAAACAAGTCAACAACATGAATGCAACTTATCTACTTTTGCAGTGTGTTGACTGCTGACTTATGTTTAGAGCCCGAACAGCTGTCTATCTACCTAAAAAGGTTGACAGGCTTGTAGGAGATTAGAGCATATGTAGAGCTAAGAGTTACAAAGCACTTGACATGTTGCCGAATTGCTGCCCAGCAGAAAAAGTTTCGGCGGGAGCTGAAGAGAGAAGCGGGAGAAACTTTAATGCTCTTTGATGGAAGAACAGTTGTCGAGTGCTGCCCAGCTGCTCCAAAGAGCTGCCCAGGCTAACAGCTACAATACGCTCAAGTGCTGCCCATCTACTAGAAAAAGCAGATGGCGAAAACTAAGCTTATGATACTTTTGCAAATACTAAGCAGCATATGATACCAGATGTGTGTGTGTGTGTGTGTGTATGTGTGTGTGTGTTGCACATGAGTAATAGAAAAGTTTTTTACACACCACCCTCCCTCCACCCTTGAGTTCGTCAAGCACACTTGAGAGAGCTTCGCATTTAACTCTCGTTTTTAATGCGTTTCTCAGTGCAAATTGTCGCACGCACACACGTACACACACACACACTCGCACGCACAACTAATTTCTCGTCTCGACAGTTTATTGTGCAATTTCCTTTTCAGCCTCCACACACACCCACCTATCCTCCCCCACCTATCCCCCTTCTATCACTTGCTCGTGTGACCGCAAGCAACACAAAAAAAAAAATAAAAAGGAGAAGAAGACGGAGGAAAAACACTGGGAAAATTTATTTCCGCTGCGCATTTGTCGACTCTCATCTGCGGCCGCCGTCGTGTGGCACCTTTTTGTGGCAACTGGCAACTGGTTTGCGGTTTCCCATTTTGACGTTTTATGCGTTCGTTTCCTTTGCGCCTCGCTTCGGTTCGGTTCATGCAACACGCAGCGACGCCTCGCGCCTTGTTAGCTTCAATGCCACTTGCCATCTTCATCATCTTCACTTGTCTCTGCCCCCTCTTCCCCCCTCTCACCCTCTCTCTCTCTCTCTCTCTCGCTCTGTCTCTCTCTCTTGCTTCACCGTTTGGCGACTTCCGCTTCCGGCGCCTTGTGTCGACGCGCCCGTCTTTGATTTGTGGCGCCTTTAGATTTTCGGGCCAGCTTTTATTCCGCCCGCCGGCGCATCCCCAGCCACTTCTTGCCGCCCCTCCCCCTCTCTCTTTCCACCTTTCTCACCCGCACGCATGGCCTTCATTTTGTTTGGCATTTAGTGGCCGCATATAAAAAGGCAATGGCAACAAATTCCCATTTACGTGGCATGCTCGAGATTTATGTGTATCGCAGCAGGCACTGCGAAGGCGGGCCGTGTGTGGGGGGAGGGCGTGGCAGTTTAGAGCTGCCCGCCTGAAAGGATGTTGCGTGCTGACATTGCGTCACAGTCCGTCGTCTCGTCCTGGCCGTAGTCACAGATTTGCGAGAAATAAAATGCCAGAATGAAGCTGATAAATGCGATTTGCCACGCCTCCCATCTAACAATAACTCCCCTGTGTATTAAGCGTACCAGCTGACTGTGTGTTTGCCTGTGTGCGTGTGTGTGTGTGTGTGTGCGTGTGTGTGTATTTGCCAGGTAACCCTTCGAGCTCTTGGCAACTGACTGCAGCAGTTTCATCCTGCCTCAATTTGTCATTTGGTGCGTGGCAGAGTCGCTTCTCGTTGCGCCTCGCTGCTTATTGCAGCAATTGCCAGCATTTTGGCTTTCAAACAGACAGCCCCTAACCCTCTGCCTCCGTCCGCCTCATCCACGCCCTTCGTCTTCCTTGCGGCAACTGCTTTGTGATTATTTTCAACTTCATTGAGCACACGCAATTATTTTTAAGTTCAAGGACAGCGCGTCGGAGCTGATTAAACACACGCCGGATAGGAATTCATGATGAACTCTAGACACAGCCCTGCTGAAGCCCTAGGGGATTGTTGTCTGTTGTTTATTTAAATATTTATTGCACTCAGCTCAAGAGCTACAGATGAAAGCCCGACAACAACGATTTGTTACATCGAATAAGAAAATAGTCTAGAATGAAAATCAATCTTTCGATATATCCAAACATTTGATATCGATATTTCGATTTTTCTACAGTTTTGAAACTAATTTATAACATTCAGATAAAAGCTAAGCCTATCGATTTGTCCTCAGTATCCAATTGGCAGATTGACTGGCTGATTGACTAACTAACGGATGCAATGACTGACTGATGGACTGTCTAACTGACAAATTGATTGATTGATTGACTCATTAACTGACTGACTGACCCACTGATTGACTGATGTATAATTGCCTAATGACTGATTAACTGACTGACTCATTGACTGAGTGACTGAGTGACTGACTGACTGACTGATTGACAAACTAACTATTGGACTGACTGGCGGAGTAAGTGACTGTTCGACTGATTCACTCACTGACCCATGACTGATTGATCTTGACTGATTGACTCAATGATTGAATTACTGTTGAACTAACTAACGGAACTGACTAATTGACTGATTGACTGATTGGCTGATTGACTAAATGACTGACTAACTCTGTAACTGACCAGCTGCTTGATGACTGACTGATTAACTCATTGAATTGATTGATTGCCTGACTGATTGAAATACTGTCTGACTGATTGGTTGACTAACAAGTTGACTAATGAATCATTGAATGATTCACAGATTGACCAACTGAATGAGTAACTGACTCCAGTCTGACTCTTTGGCAAGCTACCTGATTAATAGACCGACGGCAGACTGAATAACCTGAATGACTGATTGACATACTGTCTGATTGGTGTACCAACAACCTGGTAGATTGACCGATGACTGACTGATTGACATACTTTTTGACAGATTGACTGATTGATAAGTTGTTTGCCAGAAAGCAGTTGAACGCAAAGTTTTTTAAAAATTCAACGGGCAGAAAGCAATGAAGTTGGCCTAGTCATAGCCGGTGGATTGCCGGCTAGTAGCTTATATAGTATCAGATTTACTTAAGGCTAGAATATAATGTTTGTTCATTAAACGTATTTACTTACCGTACGGCGCAGTACATGGACGTGAGGAGCGCAGCGGGCAGAATGACAATGATGAGGCCCATGGAAACGGCGAAGAGATTGAGAAAACCTGCAAAGGGAAAAAAAGAAAAGAAACACAAGAAGCGGGGTCAGTCAATAGTCGAGGACTGGATGCACTGTGGACTCACCATCATAGTCGGCGAGCGGATCCTCCGAAAGGGCGGTGGCATTGCCCATGCGCTCCCCGTGCTGCAGGGGCGCCATGGCGGATGCACCACTCGAATCGGCATAGCCCCTGAGGCTCTCGTTGTGCTGCTGGAGCGTGGCATTCAGTAGCTCTGCGGCGGGCAGCTGCTCGCGATGCAGGTGACTGAAGCCGTGACCAAACGGGTGGCGTCGAGAGCCCTGTGCATCCTGCTGCTGCAGCCGATGGGCCGGACTCTCGAAAGGATAGGAACCCTCGACGCCATCAAAGCCGCCGCCGGCGCCATCGTCAATCAGATCGCCACCATACTGAATGGAGCTCTCGATGACATCCGGATCGTTGCCCAGACCCAGGCCGTTGCTCTCAATGTCGTTCTCATAGATGTTGCGCCCCGCGCCAACCAGCTCGCCGGGCATATAGTCGATCTCCTTGAGCTCAATCTGCGGCGGCAGCTCGCCAATGACGGGCACTCCAATGGCCAAATCGGGCAGAACCGCCGGCTGTATGACAATGTCCGGCTGCTGGGAGCTGCCATGGCTCGCCATTGTGGAGGCCAGCGACTGCTGTTCCACCTCAATAACCGATTCACCCACATAGGTCACATCCAGCGGAGGAGCGCCATCTCCTCCCCCGCCACCGCTGCTGCTGCTGCTGGGACTGCGCAGAATCTTTAGGGCGTCGGCGGTGTGCTGCTGCGGCGAGAGTAGAATGTCCTCCTCATAACGGGGCGTGGCGGCTGAGCTGCGCTGCAGCTGCTGCTGCTGCTGCTGGTCCAGCACGTAGCTGGCGGGAAAGAACTGATTCTCGAACTGGAGCTTGCGCTGCTGCTGCTCGTTGACGGCGCTGCTGACGGTGGGCAGGGATTCGCCCACTTTGACCTCCGTGTTGGATATGTAGAATATGGTGTCCGAGTCGCGATCGATGTTCGGCTTGCGCGGCGGCGGCGGTGGCGGCGGCGGCGGTGGCCGTGGCAAGCCCTCAACGCTCTTCGTATCCGCCATGAATAGCTCATCGGCGGAATCGTGGGGCGGACGTACGGCCGGCGACGGCGGCGCATCAGAGCGATACGGATAGCCGAACATGGGATTCAGATTCATGTGCTCCATGCCGTCACTAAATGTGTTCTCGGTGCTGTTATCCCCGGCGCTGTTGTCAATGATCTCAACGACGAGTATCTCGTCGTTGGGCTTGTTGGCCTTTGTCTCGCTGGCCGCCGGCTGGCGGTAGGAGAACTCCAGATCCTCGCTCTCATTGCCAAACGCCTCCGACACATTGATGTGTATCTCGATGGCAGCCGGCTCCGGTTTGTCCATGCCGACGCCCATAACAGCGCCCGCTGCGGGCTGTGTGGAGACATCGGCGCGATCGATTACGTATTGGGTGAAGCGCTCCTGGGCAACCGGCGAGCTGGGCGGCCTGGCGGTGCCCAGCGTCTGTTCCAGCGGCAGCGGATAGTAGCCACGATTGTCCCGGAAATTCGTGGATGCCACTATGGAGTCCACCGTCGAGTCGTATACTTCGATTTGTATGTCGGATATCTTGGATTCGGTGCGCGGCGGGGCCGGCGCGACGCTGATCTCGGCCGCCGGCATAGGTAAACGTGTGGTGCTGCTCTGCTGCAGCTCCGGCACCTGGAAAACAGTTGTCGACAGCACCGACTGTGTTTGCGGTACAGCTGCCGGCAGCATGGTTGTGGTTGTCGTGGTGCTGGGGCCCGGACGCGTAGAGCTGCTTTCCACATTTGATTCGAGTAAAGCAGTTGGCGCTAATATCTCCACGATGCGTCCCTGGCGCAACTGCAGCTCAATGGAGTCCTCGTGCTGCTGCTGCTGCTGTTCCTGCTGGTGGTTGGTGCCTGTGGTTGCCTGTGGTTTCTTAAGCGGATGCACCACACTAAAAGTTTTCTCGCCCATAAAAATGGGTCCCAAATAGCCATTGGGCACGGGCAACAGCGCGGCCGCTTGACTGCTTTCCAGGCCGCCGCCACTGCTGCTACTGGTGCTGCTGGTGCTAGTGGAGCTGGTGGTGCTGCTGGTGGTGGTGGCTTCCGTTTCCATTGCTGTTTCCTTGGTGGTTGTTGCCGCTGGCACAAAGTGTTGCTGCTGTAGCTGCTTCTTTTTGGTCAGCTTGCGTCCATCGTGGCCATTGCCAGTTGGTGGTGCGGCTGTCATTTCCAGGTCCAGCAGCTGCACCACCGACTCCACTGACTGTTGCAGTTGGCTCATGTTCAAAGTGTTGCTGCCAGCAGTTGTGGTTGATGCTGCTGTTGTTGTAGATGTTGCTGCTGTTGTTGTTCCGGGCACTTTAAATACATTGGTGCTTGGCATGTTGCTTTCATTGACAGCAGCAATTGTTTCTGCTGTGCTTGCTGCTGCTGTTGTTGTGATGACTTTATTGTGATGCTCCTCATGTTGTTGCTGCTGCTGCTCGTATTGTTGTTGTTGCTGCTGCTGCTGCTCATCTGGCTGCTGCTGCTCATGTTGTTGTTGCTGCTGCTGCTGCTGCTGCTCAAGTTGTTGCTGCTGCTCATGTTGCTGCTGCCGCTCGTGTTGCTGCTGCTGTTGCTTCAGTTCATGCTGTTGCTGCTGCCTTTGTTGCTGCTCATGTTGTTGCTGCTGCTCATGTTGCTGCTGGTGCTCATGTTTCTGCTGTTGCTCATGTTGCTGCTGCTTGGCAGCGACAATCAGTGTGGGCGTGTCGCCCTCAACGCCAAACTGTAACTGCTGTGTGGCAGCTACAACAGTTGCCGGCTTTGCTGGTGCTGCTTGCGCCTGGCCATTGCTGTTGGCCACCAGTAGCAACAGCAGCCATATTAACCGCAAGGCGGCAACACGTTGGCCACGCCCACTGCTGCTATATGCAGCAGCTGCCATGTTGCGGTTGCTGCTGTTGTGCTTGTTGCTGCTGCTGTTGTTGTTGCTGCTGTTGTTGCTGTTGCTGTTCTGCTTATTTTGATTATGCCTTTTGCGTTGCTCGTTTGCTTTGTGTTGTCTTGTTTTCTTATGTAAATTTAGTTTTGATTTTGCTTCGCTGACGCTGTGAAACTTGCTGTTGCTGTTGCTGTTGCGGCTGCAACTGTTGTTGCCTTTGGCACTTAATTTCCCCTTTTGCACTGTTTGTTGTTGCTGCTGTTGCTGTTGTTGTTGCTGCTGTTGGCACTTGGCATTGTCGTGTAGCACTTCTGGCTGCTCGGCATCTTCGTCTTCGTCTTCATCAACATCTTCAGCAATCCGCGCAGCCGTCGCAGCTGTCGCCGCTTTCATTCATTCACTCAGTTGCCCAATATGCTGCACGTTGCTGCTGTTGTTGTTGTTGCTGTTGCTGCTGCTGCGGCCATTTTCTGCGGCTGCAATGCCGCGGCTCTGCTTTGGACTGTGTTGCAACTGCTGCGGTCGCTGCGGTTGTTGCTGCTGTTGCCGGCGGGCGTCTTTCTCTTTGTTGGCACACAAATTTCAAGATACAAATAAAAATATATGTTAAGAAATGAAGGCATAAAATAAAAATGGAAGAGAAACACTGCTGCTTTTAGCACTTAACGCGTCGCGTTGCGTCCTCCTTCGTCGTACTTTGTGCTCCCTTCGTTTTGCCTTCTTGTTTTTCTCTGTTCTCGCCTTTCGCTTTGCTCTTCCAATGAGTTCTGCTTGAGTGGAAATACAATTTAAAATAACGAAATATGCTGCAACAACAACACAGTTGCTGCTGCTGCTGCTGCTGTTGCTGCTGTTGTTGCTGCTGTTGTTGCTGCTGCAATTGCTGTTGCCGCTGTGCTGGCAATGCAATAAAAAGTAATGCAGCGACGCGCCAAAGTGTGCAATGAAAAGGAGACGAGGAAAGCACACAGCGATTGAAGCACCAAGTTAAAATAACGACCATAAATAATGCCAGCAAATCCAACTCCCTGTTCCACAAATCGTTTTCGCCTCAATTTCGCCAATTACTTTAAATTGGCGCTTGAATAGGTGCTAAACAGTTTATTAAAATAGTTGTCCCAAAAGACCCCTTCTTTGGAGTGAACCTCACTAGTTCATTTTGTGGAACTAGTTCACGTCTGGAACTAGTCTCAATTTATTTGAATAGCTCTTAAATAAGTGCAAAGCTGTTTATTAACATTGTTGTCACAGGAGAACTAAAAAGGGGAACCAGTTCGATCGTTCAAAGGACCCCTCTTTATGTTCTTTGGGGTGTGCCATACTAGTTCGATTTCGGCGAACCAGTTCTTTTCCGAGTCGCTTACTTGTCTTTCTCTCGCAGCTAGCACTTTCTAGCTTATTCCATACACACATACAGCCACGCCTGCTGCGCAGTTTTCCTCAACTTCCCTGTGCTTTATCAGCCCCAAAGCTCGCACTATAAACAATTCATGCTTGATTAACTCTGGTTTTAATAGTCGCATTTAAATCAAACTTTCTGGGCTTAAATATGGCATTAAAATATAAGAAAATACCAAAGCCCAAGGGGAAGCTGTGCATCATCTTCGAGATATAGTTAAAAATTAAAGTTCAATAATGATTTTTGTAGCCATTTTGCGGACTCTAGCTCTTTTAGACTTTGATATTGAGTATACGCACAGTCGGACAGACAGATGGAGGGATATATTACTAATATGACAGAGATGAATTTTAGATATTCATTCGAAAACTGAGACATGTTTTCATTAGAATGGAAATTGTAACATGAATAGGAATGGAAGTGCAGAAGAGTTCATCAAGCACTCTGATGCAAAGAAAAAATGAATAAAAGCTTTTTTTGTTGGGAAGAAGGGCAAGCAGAGAAAAGAAACCTCAAGAAGAATAATTTGTAATTGAGCTTTACGTACCAGGATGTCAAGAGTCTATCTGAGCGTCGAACCAACAAGCGAGAAGTTGCCAGTTCAAATTCAGCAGAAATGTTCAGTTCTTATATAATTTTTGGCCATCAAATTTGGTTTCTTCTCTTTGCCGTGGAGAGAAAATTGCTTTTTACTTATTATGAAAATGAAAATGTAAAATTGTGCCCACAATAAGAGGCGTGCGACGCCGAATAATTTCTTTGTGCATTCAATCATATTTGATTTTAACATTTTGTCAAACACCTCAACAACAGAAGAACAGCCCACAATAATTGGAAGTTCGTCAAGAATGCAAACAGAAATTGTGAAGCATGTAAAATGCCATTTTGCCAAAGAGAATGAAATGAAACGAGAGGAAAATTTGATATTTTTGTGGCTATGCGACAAGCATGAAGCATGAAACGATGATATGCTATGAATGTGAATGTGAATGTGAATGTGTGAAGGCATTTGATAGCAGAAAAATGTTCAGAAATTGAAATCGAAAACAAAATATGCCATCGAAATGCCAATTTCAAATGCTCAACTCAGCTCAGCTCCGGGCAACTTGTTCAAAAATTGTGAAAATTGCTCGTTTTGTTTCGCACGGCGGGGAGTGGGGGAGTTGTTGGGGGAAGTTGGGTTTTTTATTGCTTTTGTCTCGGCCATTGTAAATGCCCGAAAATGCCATGCAAATTAAATATAAAGCCCGCAAAATGTTTCGATTTCAACTCGAGCAAAAATCAGCCTGCGGTTCAAAAGGGTTGCACAACAGCCAGCCCAAGCTCCGTGCGGACCCCATTGGCTCGCCTCTAACCTCAAGCAAAAGGTTGCGGTATGCTGTTTACGTTAACCAGAACCCAAACGCAGAGTCCCATTTAATGGGCGGGGGGAGGGGCAATATCAGTGGCCATCCGCAGGCCACAAATAGCAGCTGCATTTGGCCATTGCCAGCACCGCAAAATCAACTACAAAGCAACAAGCACAGCAAATGATAATCAGCATTATTTAAGGGGGAGCAGCTTAACGGAAATTTGGGAGCGGGAGAGGGGCGGGGGGGGGGCTATAATGGAGGGTGGTTATGGGCGGGTGTGGGTGTGGCTTACCTTAGCTGAGCACAGCGGCAGCTGTTGCTTGGCGGGGGGCTTCTGTTGGGCCCGCAAGGTAATCCAAGGGTCCTTGCGCAGCCTTTCAAGCTAACGCGCTTGCCAGTCACAATCACTCAGTTCACAATAGTCTTAGCTTAGCACTGGAACAAAAAAAAGAAAAGCAGAACAGCCTCAGACTTGGCTTTTGGCCAGTTGCAACACGCGACACGCCCGGCTACAGAAAAACAAAACAAAAAAAAAAACGACAACAACCAGCAATAAAACGCAAACACACGCAACAACAACAAAAATATATTGTTGTGGTAGCAGCAACAGTCACAACAACAACAACAGCAGCAACAAGACGCGCGCCCAAACAATCGAATTCATATTCAAAACTTATATAAGAAAATATGTTATATTTTATTTTAATTTTTTCTCAAAATATAATTTTAATTTTTCAAAGAAATTTTTCAAATCCCAAAACTTTCAGAACTGAATTCAATATCTTTTTGGGCTTGAGTAGGTTCTTCAAAATATTTGGCTAAGATTAAACGTATTTAGTTTATTTTAAGCTGTTAACATATTCATTTAAAGTTTTTTACAGCTGCACACATATTTTTTTTAAATGTTTTTGAAACTTATAAATCACACAACTCTTTCCATTTTCTTTTTAAATTGTTTTCAAAATTGTTTTTCACTTGGAAAACTAGCTAAAATTGTTCAATTGTTGTTTTTTTTTTTTTTTTAATTTGTAAACTTGTTGAAATATGTTTTCAATGTTTTTTTTTTTTCTTCAATTGAAAAACTTGTGATACTTGTTCAAATATTTTTTGAGTTTTTTTTTTTTGTTAATTTTATTTGTCCAACCTTTATTTAATAATTTTTAGAATTCATAAACCTGTCAAACTTTCTCAGATATTATTTAAATATTTATTCAACTCATAAACTTCTAAAACTTGTATTTTAATTTATTTAAGCTGTTTTAATGTTTGCTTCTGCACATTTATTTTTCCAAGTTCTTTTTAACTGTCAATTCAATTTTTAAAATATTTCATTTCCGTTTTGCAAATATTAGTTGAATATAATATTTTTAATTTTATTTAAAACTTCTGCATATTTAAAAAAAAATATATATTATTTACTTTTAAAGGCTTTTCAATTTTTAACGTTACTTTTCAAATTTTTTGAAATTTATGTTTCGTTTGCGGCGGCGTTTTATGCTTGTTATTTAAAAAAAAATAAATAAAATAAGGAACTGTCCGAAGGAAGAGAGCGGGTTGAGGTGGGTTAGGTAAGTGCGGGTTGGTTGCAGGACTTGTGGGGGGAGGAGGCGGGTGTTTAGGCTGTGGTTTAGGAATTTTATCTCACGGCTGTTGTGTTGATTTATCCGGTTGTCGTTGCCGCTGCTGCGTCCTTTAGCTCCGAATACCGCACGCAAACTGCGCAAATCGCATCGCATCCTTTGCTCTAAAAGGACGACTGGCGATTTGCCGATGTTGCCGATTTCGCCGATTCACAGCTGTTGGCGGCGACGCTGCGTCGGCAGCGAAGCATCGTCTGGCAGCTGCGCACCAGTTGCCCGGTTGGTGTCTGCGCTAAGCCCAGTGTGACCAGACTGCACACATTCGTCTAAAATTAGTTAATTGGCAGCTTGAATCTGGCACATTTCAATCGAAAAACGCTCTTTTCTACTTCTCAACATTTTCTCTTGCAACATGTTAAGTTCAAATTTCTGTTAAATGCTGTTATTTTGCCTTTTTCAAATTCACGACTGTCTGGCAACGCTTTCCGCCATCATTTGAAGACTATTGCGGCAGCTTCCAATCTACACGCTCTACACTGCGGTAGAGTTTGCAAAGCTGCTTGTGTGGTGAAAAGTTTCTGACGAAGGTTCGTGTCTTGGCTAGCGAATAGCTTAATCAGCGGAGTTTTGGTGTAGCTAAGCTTCGAACCTAAACGACGCTCAAGTTAAATACGCGCATCAAAGTCACACTCTAAGCGAGCGAGCAAAGTTTCAAACCATTCTTAAGTCAGCTTAT